GTTGTGTTCAAAACCGGGTACGACCTTTGTGTTGGGGGTCAAATGAACCCACATTGGTTTCCAGAAAAAAAAACAAAGACTCATATAAAACAGAAAACTTTTAGTGTAGACTTAAAATATATATATTGAGAGAAATTAGAAATAGTTTGGGGTTAATTTGACCCACATATTTTTCGGTGCAAAATTAGCTGCACCAACATAAGAAAATATCGATTTTTTTTGTTGTTGTCATAACTACTTTAAATATTAGTGACTAGTATAAATATGATCTAATATTATTTATACTTGGTGTAAGTAGTATTTATTGCTATTTGTACTTTCTCTGCCTTTTTATGTCGTCTTCTCAAACCCTTGTAATGGGTTTCTCGCTTGTTTTCAGTGCTGTAACAGATCCAAAAACAGATTTTTTTTTACCGTGAAACTCTAAGTTTCACTGAATTTTCCTTCGGACGATTCAGAAGACAAGTCTTCAATTTTGAGTACACTCTTGAGTGTTAAATTTCATAAGTTCTGATGTATTTTATGTGTCTGACAAACTAAAATAAAGGTTTTCTGTTTCCTACATGACCCGTCAGTGTTTTTAGAGTGTTGGCGTTTGGCAAATTGCATGGAAACCAATGGGGGTCAATAATTTGTGTACAGCCTTTCCAAAACACATCTACGTGTTGAAACTTTGCATGCTTATTCATGACCCTAAATGAGAAATATCCACCAAATTTCAAGAAGAAATAAATAATTTAACCAGTATTTCAAGCCGTTTGAAAATGTATTCCGAGTCAGACTTGACCCGCCGCAACACAATCAAGCTGCTCTGATTGAGAAATCATGATTTCTGTGAATTTCTGGCCTCATTTTCCCTGAAGACAGATCCAGACAGATCCACTAGTGTGTATTGGATCACAATTGAATGCTTTTTTCAGTAAAGGATTAATGGAAGGAATTTGGCCTTGAGAAAAACAAACTAAAGCAGCTCAGGACAGAAGAGCTTATTAGATTCTTGTACATGGATCATGTATATCTGGCAGAAACCAATGTTGTGGTGTGTTTTATAAACGACAATACGTTCGTATTTGTAGTCAGTTGTTTTGCAGCCAAGAAAGAGAATAAACCAGACACACATGCTGAGAATAAACTTGACGTAACACACCAACTCTAAACAATTAATGAATGGGTCAATGGGTCCGAATCAATCAAACGAGCAGATGTGTTGCTAGAAAGTTCACTATAGTGAAAGAAATTAATACTTCTCTCTTAATGTGTTGCTAGAAAGTTCACTATAGTGAAAGAAATTAATACCAGCTTATTTCTCTCTTAAAGCATTAGAATAATTGACAGAAATACAGATTCTGTCGTTGTTTAATCACCCTCGCGTCGTCGTTCTGAGAGGAAAAACGTCCCAGTCGCTCAGTGGACGGACACTTTGACGATAAAGTGCAATAAAACAGTTCATATGACTCATATGATATATTATTTTGGTTTTGTGTAAAACTAAAGCAGCCGTTGCTGTGAAACATTCGCGCCTTCTGGACGTCGTCCGTTGGGTTTCAGGTGTCACGTGACTTAGATTTGAGAAAAGGTTTTGTTCAGGTTAAATAAAACTTCTTAATTGTCATTACTCAAAGATTTTACTTTTAAACATAAGTTTGAAAAAATATTTAAAAAAATAAATGACTAAAATAAATAATATCGTGTGACGTACACACGTGTATGCAAGAAAGTATTCAATATTTTTAAGTCATTAAATCAGCTGTTTGGAGAAAATAGTATGAATATTTTCAGATATGTATGAAACCAGTGTGAATACAAAAATACTTTTCCAACTGTTTCCAACATTGATAATAAAGCAGCATATTATACTGATTTCTGAAGATCATGTGACACTGAAGACTGGAGGAATGATGCTGAAAATACAGCTGCGCATCACAGAAATGCATTACAGTTTAAAGTGTTAAAATAGAAAACCCTTATTTTAAATGGTAATAATTATGACCTTAGTGTTGTTAGTGCCTTGCGTTTGAGCTGCAGGAACTCTAATACAGAAACAGTCGTAATATTTTCAGGTAAGAGTTTATAATGTCTTGCTGGACAATTAACTGAAGATCTCTCCAACGATGACTAGATTTCACGTGACTCTCATTCTTGAATAAAGTGGATATGCAGAAATGCGTCTTTGCACAATTCTGCTCTCATTCAGCTTTAATAATTGTCTAAATATTAAAATTAAGAATGTTTGTGAGTTTAGACATGGTGCCATGGTTATATGGCCATGTATTCTCTGGAGTAAGACTGTAATTATCCCAACCACTGACTGCACGATCTGCATGAAAAATAAACATGGGCTGGATAACGTTACATAATATTTTACGTGAGCTATCTACATTATATCTCAAAATAAGAATAATATATATACATACATACCATTATTATACATTACATATATTGATTTTTGAAGATGTTTTAATATGTAAAGGTCAGTGTACATATCTTGTTAATATTTCAACATTGATTTCGAAGTACTTTCTTCAACCATTGAGCATTAAATATTGTTTCAATATTGAAACAAGTTACAATATTTCAACCACGTTTCGTCATTTAAGGTTGGTTTATGAATATGGCAATCATTCAGTGATTAAATATATGCTACCATAATATTGGATAAATTGGTGGGAGCATCACAGAACGTAGAGTTTGTGAATGTGAAGATGCTCTCAGCTGACAGGGAACGTTCTCTCAAAGTTAGGAACAAACATTCATTCAGTAACATTAAAACAACATTTGTTTAAAGTTATCTGGTCTTAAATAATGTTCTAAAATGTTATTGATTGTTTATTTTGAATGAAACCTTTAAGTTGGGTGTTCGTCTAACATTTTTTAAATGTTGCTACATGAATGTTTCCCAAAGCTTTGAATGTTTCTGAGTCTTTCTGAACGTTCCAAATGTTTCCGAATGCTCTGAATGTTTCCGAACGCTCTGTTTGTTTCCGAACGCTCTTAATGTTTCCCAATGCTCTGAATTTTTCCAAATGATCTGAATGTTTCCGAATGCTTTGAATGTTTCTGAATGCTCTGAATGTTTCCGAATGCTCTGAATGTTTCCCAACGCTCTGAATGTTTCCGAATGCTCTGAATGTTTCCCAACGCTTAGAATTTTTCCAAATGCTCTGAATGTCTGTTTCCGAACGCTCTGAATGTTTCCGAATGCTCTGAATGTTTGTTTCCCAATGCTCTGAATGTTTCCGAATGCTCTGAATGTTTGTTTCTGAACACTCTGAATGGTTCCCAATGCTCTGAATTTTTCCAAATGATCTGAATGTTTCCGAATGCTTTGAATGTTTCTGAATGTTTCCGAACGCTGTGACTGTTTCCGAATGCTTTGAATGTTTCTGAATGTTTGTTTCCGAACGCTCCAAGTTTTTCCGAATGCTCCAAATGTTTCCGAATGCTCTGAATGTTTCCCAACGCTCTGAATGTTTCCGAATGCTCTGAATGTTTCCCAATGCTTAGAATTTT